TAATAAATCTCTCTCATACACATACATATATATGAGATATCTACCTACCTACCTACTACCTATTATCTACCTCCTATTGGTTCTGTTTGTCTGCAGAACCCTCATTAACAAAGATAGGAAGCTCTAAGAGGGAGGAAACCAGGTATGGTTTCACTCACCATTGTGTCTCCAGTCTGGTAAAATACCTGATGTACATAGTATGTGCTCAACAAAAACTACTTAAACAAATGACTAATGGGGCTTCATATATCTGGAAAAAGGTTTGAGGCTTTAGCACTGTGCCCCAGCTGCAGGCCTGGAATGGCGGATTCAGGTCGTCTGTGCCCCTTACTGCCTCCTGCGTGCCCAGCAGATGCCACGTTCTTACACACATGATGACATTTACTTCTCATGAACAACCAGCCTGATGAGGCCGTCCTCATGCTTTCTACTTTCAAATGAGGAACATGGGGCTCAGAAGGATTAAATAACTTGCCCGAGGTCACATAGTAATTGAACGTCAGAGTGGAGCTCTGATTCCAAAGCTTCTGCTCGAAACCTTTATAGCTCTGGGAGTTTCTAAGGCCTTGTCTTTTCCACCCTTCAGGGTTCAGGGTTTATCAAACCTCCCAGTGGGTTTACTCCTCAATATCCGAATCTGACTCCAAAGCCCAGGCTCATGTCAGCCACACTGGGCTGTGAGGACACTGGGGCCCCTCCCGCCATCTCCCACATCCACTGTGGGTCGGTGGCCCTACCGGCCGGTTCTGCCTTCACTCACCAGAGAGGCCTGCCTCCTGAGGTAGCTCATGTCACCCCACACAGAGCATGTCCCCCACTGAATCCCAACCCTCTACTCTGCCCCAGTGTGGCTTCTCACCGGTCCCTGTTCTACACACCATTTACATCAACCCTCAGGCATTTATGCATTTATTGAATAAGTATTTACTGAGCACCCACTTATGTGCCAGGAGTTGGCAATGTGATGCGAGTAAAACAGATTTAGTTCTTCCTCAGAGGGTTTGTGGTCTAGAGGGGAAGGCCAATAAACAACTAGTATCCATGTGCAACGAATGCCAACCTCTGATACTGCTTACGTCGTCACCCGTGGTTATTTTTTTTTTAAGGATTTATTTATTTATTTGAGAGAGTGAGAATGAAAGAGAGAGAGAGAGTACATGAGAGGGGGGAGGGTTAGAGGGAAAAGCAGGCTCCTCTGCTGAGCAGGGAGCCTGATGCGGGACTCGATCCAGGGACTCCAGGATCATGACCTGAGCCGAAGGCAGTCGCTTAACCAACTGAGCCACCCAGGCGCCCACCCATGGTTATTTTTTAACAAATGTTCCTTTTCCACTTCTCTTCCTTCTGATTTCCATAGCCACCATCCTTACGTAGGCTGAGTTTCCTTTGTATTGAGACAAAAGCAAAATGTTCTAATTCTCCTTTCTTCCCGCCACCACCGTGTTCATCTTCCATAAAACAAATTCCACCATTCTGTTCTTCAGCCAAATGATCTCAAATCACTCTCCACATACTAGGGACTGTGTTTCTCAAACTGGGCCACACGTACATATCTGAAGATATGGGGATGCACCAGGCAGTACAGAAAACCATGGGATACACACTGCATCTTTTGGGAACATCAATTTTGCTTGAAATCTGGGAGTGGGGTAAAATGTAATTATTAAACCTAAAATAGACATTTTATGGGAGTAAAATGCACAACTCATGTGAAATTTCAGGATAGAAAAATAAGACTTCAAAGAAAATCTGTGGCTGGTTGGCACCTCCCCCAGGGTCTCTGGCCTCTGCTGTTTTGTCTGTGTGGGTGGGCGGGGCCACTCAGGGCCCACAGGAGAGGTTGGGCTGCGGCTGGATGCCCTTCTTCCACTGCAGCCAGGCTCACGGCCTGACCTGCGTGCTGTATATACTCGGGGGAAAAGCTTAAGAAGCACTGGCTGCCACAGGGGCCAGACTCTGAGTATGGAGTCGGTACTCAAGGAGTGAACAAACAAATGCATGAATGAATGAATGAATACATGAAGGCATATGCGTTTGACTTTGATCTTCAAGGACCAACTTGATACGAACCATCATCCCTCTTTCACCTCTTTCTTTGATATTTGATTCCCCAAACCTGAGTCTTTGAAGGTTCCATGTAACTTCCTAACTTCAGGCTTTTGCCCATTCTGTGTGCACTGCCCAGAACACAACCTCCCCCCTCCCCGCCCTCCTACCTACCCAGACCCTCTGTGTGTTCGACAGGACTACTCAGCCTCTGCTTTCCCCGTGACGTCTATCCCAAATGCCCCACCCTTCCCTGCACATCCCAAACCATCTCCACCACTCATTGGGGTGTTAACACACTGCCTTACACACCGTTCCTGAAATGTTCCCTGGGTACATCTTAGGTCATGAACCAAATTTTAAATGCATCCAATGTAGGAGAGGACTTCCCTTTGCAATGGACCCCTCAGAGTTCTCAATAGTAAAAGACACATCACAGATACAAGAAAATCATGCTGAAGGACTGACAAGGAATTTTAGTCTAGATATGTAGTTCTCAACCAGGAGCAATTTTCTCCTCCCCAACCCACAGTATGGCACACCAGGAGATAGTTTTGGTTGTCCCAGCTTGCTTTGGCCACTCACAACCAGTGGGGAGAGTCCACGGATGCTGCTAAACATCCTACAGTACATAGGACAGCACCCTTCCCCTAAGAACTATGTGCCCCAAATTCAATACTGCTGCTGTTAGAAACCCCTGTCTACATTAGAATATCTTTGGAACTTGTTTCCTTGTCTCTTTTTTCTCCCACTTAGAACCCAACCTCTGACTGGGAGAAATCCTGATCACATCACTCCCCTGGTTACGTCAGTGGCTGTTCACCGACTTTGAGAAAAACATTCAAGTTCTTCACGATGGCCATATGATCGGGCTCCGGCATCCCTCCCGAGCTTCAACTCACTTCCTTCTCCAAGTCATTCCCTACATACCAGCCTTATCACTCACCCTGCAGTTTGGCATACGTTATGATCTTCCATGCCTCAGCACCTTTGCACATGCTGATCCTTCTGCCTTGAACACGTTTCCTCTTGTCGGCTTATGTAAGTAAGTACTGTTCAGAGATCAGTGCCAACACCCACAGGAGCAAATGTTTATTAATCATCTATTAAGTGCCAGGCCCTGGTTTAGGTGCTAGGGAAATAGCTATGAACAAGACAGAACAGGTCCAAAGAGCTAAAAGTCTAGAAAGGCACTCTCCAATAGAACTTCCTGCCGTGATGGAAATGTCCTAAATCGGTCCTGATATGAGAGCTATGAGCCACACGTGGCTCACAGATAATCTGACCTGAAATCTCCTACAAGCATAGAATACACAATTGTTAATAGTTCTCTCACCTAGGCCCCATGACAAACTCATGCGGTGGAAGTTACTGTTTTACCCATTTTGCATATGAGAAAACAGGCTCAGAAAGGTTAGGGATAGTTGGACAAAGTCAGGCAGCTGAGAAGGGGTGAAGCCTGGCTCTGACCTGGGTCTGCGCAGCTCCAGAACCCACAGTCTACACACCACCACACTGCACACCAGCTCCCTCGTGCGATACTTCCCGTGCCAAAAGAGCAAGCAAAAATGATCAAAATGACACAGACATTCACCCCTTTCCTGGCCATACACGGACACAGTCATCCTATCAGTCACGTCAGACAGGGACTGAAATTGGAAACGGACTGTGGGAGACAAAGTCCTAATTTCTGGGTCTCCACAGCCAACTGTATAGGGCTAAAAAGCACTGAGCAGAAGGTGATGGGGGACAAAAAGAGCTCTGGTCCCCCCCAAACATCTTGGCAGCTGCATGTTACTTAGCCTGACACGAGACATGGATTATCACCGCCTTCAGGCACTACTTCTCTGGGAGCAGTTTCTTTTCTAGAAAGTTCCAGGCCCATCCGGTCCACCACAGCACTCACTGTCAGTGCCAGCAGGCTTCACTTGCTCACAGGGGTCTTACAGCCTTTGGCTTCTAAGCACTCAGTCCCCACTAGCTGGGAGCTACTTCTCTCCATCAATGCCTTGAAAACCAGCATGACCGTGGCCTGAGTCTGGCTGCTCCTTATCTAACCCATCCCCTTACTCTGAAGCTTTTCCCTGGTGCCCACTAGGGCCACTGGGACTTCCAGAGTTCTGGTTCCCAAAGCTGTACCCTCTCCAGGAAGGCACTAACCCCTTCCCGCAGGTTTTTTTTTTTTTTTTTCAAATTGATATATAATTGAAACAGGACACTTATATTAGTTTCAGGTATACGACATAATGATCTGATGTATATTTATATCGCAAAATAATCACCAGTAAGCCTAGTTAACATTCATCACTGCAGAGAGTTACAAATTTTTTTTCTGGCAAAGAGAACTTTTTAAGATCTACCCTCGTAGCAACTTTTAAATATGCAGTAGAGTATGATTAACCTAGTCACCATCCCCAGCTGCCATTCGTGATTGCCTGCATACTCTCAGCCTCTCACACGGTCCAGGAGGCCCGGTTAACCGCCAAGATCTGTCCAGAAGCCACCAGCCCCTCTCCACCTGCATGCCAGAACCCCTGTCCAGGCCACGCTCATCCCCCTGACCCCCAGCCAGCATATCACAGTGATCCCCAAACTGGTCTCCCTTCAGGGAACTCCTCAGACTCATTCTTCCCACAGTAGCCAGGGTAATGTTAAAACATACTTCGCATCGGGTCACAAGGTGTGTTGACTGGGCTCGCGTCTCATTCACCTCTGGATTCCATGGCCTTAAGCGGACATTTGTGGAATGGAACGCGAAGGTTCATATGTATCAAAACACCAGACGTGGAGCGGACTCCTGAGTCCAGCCAACACCTGGACTTGGCTGCCAGGGCGTGTCAGATGCGGAGGGGGCCCCGAGTCCTCTAGGCTCTCCCCTCCCCCTCCCACAGGTGTGGGGCCCCGGGCCCGCCCACCTCCGGCACCCCATCCACGGTGCGTGGCTGGCTACTCACATTTGCTGTGCCTGTCACACAAGGCCGACGCCCTCATGTCGCACAGCCGGATAGTCCCTTTGCTGCTGCTGTACACGAAGCTGTTGCAGTGATGCGGGTGGAACTCGGCCGCTGTGATCACCTCTGTGAGCTCCTCCATGTTGGCCGGCTTAATGTCGACGATATCTGGCACAGGCGGGTCAAGGATGGGACTGGCATGAGCACGCAGGACCCCAGGGGTGATGAGCAGCAGTAGTGCCTGGAACTAGTGTAACCTGCGGGGGATCCTCAGAGTAACCCCATGAGCACACAGACGGGGCTTCCTGGTCTTGGCAGCAGAGGCCCAGGGATGCCCAGGGCTCCGAGGCATTGTTAGAACTCAGGCCTCCCCGGCCCCTTACGAGCATTTCGTCCTCCACAACACGGAGAACATGTCCCATCGACCGTCAGAGTTATCTGCCCTCGCTATCACACTAGAATGTGCTGAGCTGCAAAGACTTTATTTCTCACTGGACAACAGTGGTGAAGAAGCTAGCCCCATTCCAGCTAAATAATTCAGTTTACCTGCATCTTTCCCCAGACTCCCAGGCTGATAAATGATATCCACGGTAGATTGTGAATCCTCTCCCATGAAATCCCTGAGATCTTCCCTAATAACACACGGGTGAGAATAGTGGTGGCACTGACAATAGGCCCATTGCTGCTCCAAGCAGATCGTGTACTTAAGTTCAGTTAATCCTTAGAACAGCTCTAGAACCAATCCTTTCCTTATCTCTGTTTGTCAGGGGTGGAGAGGGGGGCCTGCCCCGTGTCCCATGGCTAGAGGGGCAGCACCAGGATATCCTCCCAGGTGCAAAACTTGCGCTCTTGAGGAATTATGCAAAATGTCTCTCATCAAAGATACACAGGACCTCAAGCCTCCATAAGCTGTGATTTGCCTTAGAGCTTGGTTGGGAGTTTAAGCACCTGAAAAAAAAGCCCTCCAGTGTATGGCGGGAGTTTCAGCCTCCCATGGAATATACCTTTGTTTTATCATCTGTTTTTTCTTTCTCAGTATTTTCCTTCCTGATCAAGAATTATTGTAACTCTATTTTTTAAAACCACATCCTTGTATATTGAAATGAAACATCGGGCCTTTGAATTATGGAGGTGCCTCAGTGAGCAGAAGGACCTTCAGGAGGACGTCTGGCATGTGGGAGGGAAGGGGTCTGTGCCACCCCGGAGCTTGGGGGACATGCGTGCAGGTTGGGGGGCATGTGGCTGAGGCTGAGGTGCTGAGGACCTGAAACTTCCTGCAAAGGAACGGGCCTCGTGACATGGACGCTGTCACATGGGAAAGCTGACCAAAGCGATTCCCACTTTTCCTAGACTCCACCACTCTTTTTTTTTTTTAAGATTTTTTATTTATTTATTGAGAGAGAGAGAGAATGGGAGAGAGAGAGCATGAGAGGGAAGGTCAGAGGGAGAGGCAGACTCCCTGCTGAGCAGGGAGCCTTCCTGATCAAGAATTTGATGCGGGACTCGATCTTGGGACTCCAGGATCATGACCTGAGCCGAAGGCAGTCGCTTAACCAACTGAGCCACCCAGGCGCCCTAGACTCCACCACTCTTGAGCCACCTTTGTGACTGCGCCCCACGTGGACATCACCAGCTGGTATCTGCTTACCATGTGTCCTTCTGATTGGCTTCTATCGACTCCCTTTGTTTCCTTAGCCTTGTCTAAGCTGTAAGCCAGTATTCATAAAGTCATGAGTTTTAGGAGCTAGTTACATTTTAAATACTATACGTGAAATAAATGCATATCAATTAAAATAAAAATGTTTATGTCTGTGCCGGGAGCTGGTTATCCTGTTTGGGGAAACAGCACATTGATTCAACAAGAAGTAACGTGACACAGACTCTGCTATTAGGCTGGGACGGAGAAGAACCCTTTCTGCTTTTCATAAAGTTAGTAGCACAGTCCCCTCCTTAGAGTATACCTGAGGTACAAGTAAATGCGCTTGTATTTTTAGTCACACCAGCGCCGACATAGTCATCCGTTCCCGCACATCACCTATGCTCCAGCATGCAATCTGGACCAGTATGGCTCCCGCAGTTGGTTGTGCCTCTTTCCCCTTCAATTATCTCTTACAAGCCCTGTCGAGGTTTTCCAAAATTAGTTTGAGACTCAACTAACCCTACATTTTACTACAATTTCCCCCACCCAACCCAGATGCAAATATTACTTGGGTCTCCAGAGCATGTGGGTCCCCTGGATTCACAAAATACTACCTTTCAACTCAACTGCTGCCAGAGTTATAAATATGGGTGCAGTTAGCACCACCCGCTGGGCAGCAGGAGGCTGAGCCCCCCAGGAGGCCCCAGGCTGCATCTCCGATGTTCTCTCCTGTCCCCTGGCCCCTGCCCTGGGCTTGGTGGCCATGGAAAGCAGAGCTTGGTGTGTAGTTGCTGTCAGATCTCATTGCCTTCTGGAAAGAGCCTCCATAGCCTACTGTGCCAGGGAGCATGTTTCTCTTTTCCTAAAAATAGGGCAAGAAAATCTGGTGTCAGCTTTCTCAACCTCTACCAGTAGAGCTCTAAAAACAAGCTTAACTGGAAGGGATCTTTGCTGTGTGGGAGGGGGAGGTGCCGCGTCTACTGTTATTTCTTTCTTACCTAAAAATAAAGCCCCAAAGTCAGAATGTGTGAAAATGAAGTGCTTAAAGATATCTGTGAAAGCAGGAACATCCCCCAGCATCCAGAACAGCATCACGGGGACGTGCGCATGGACTCTGCTGAGGGCTGCTTCCTCTGGATCCATGCTCCCTCCTTCCCGCACCCCCTCGCTTCCTCCCTTCCGCCCAAGCTGGACTTCTAGGCCTTCCCGTCATCCCTCATCCCCAAGCATCGCCCTTTGGACTGGAATGTCTGACTCTACGCGGTTCAGGGATGACTCGAATCCTCTCTTTAATAACTGCAATCACAAGGACAACAAGAGGACAACAACCGACAGTGAATGTTTACCGACTGCCGTGCATTGTCTCATGTGACCTTCTTCTCAGCCTTATGAGGTCAGTACTATTAACAGGACTGTCCTCCAGTGGAGGAAGCAGTAGCTGAGGTGAAGTAACCAAGGTCACAGGACTAGCAGGGGGCGGAGCTGGGATTTGAACCCAGTCTGTCTGACTTCAGAGCCTGGGTTCTTGACCACCGGCTACTCTCCCTCCCCTGAGGAAGGGGCCCTTCCAGAAATAGCCATTCCGACCACAGTAATTCTGGCTCTCTTGAAACTCCCTCTGGCTAATCCCAGAGGGCAGCCTGTGTTATTCTAATTCACTGACCACTTTGGCGGCCACATTTTTCAGAATCAGAATTTGGACACAGCATCTGACTCGGGATTCCTGTGTCCTATGATGTGATAATTATTTTTTTCTTTTTTTGAACCACAGACTGGGACAGAAACATATGGGATTTCTTGAACTGCTCACTGATGGAGGATTTGCTGAGTTCTAAAAACATGTGGGAGGGGACTAGTTACCAAAAATTCAGTGGCTGATAGGGATGATGGGACAGGGTATTTCATATCGGCATCATCCAGAAACCCAGGCCTTTCCTCTCACTCTGTTCTAAAGGGAGATGCACACCTTCGGCATATGTGGTTTTGCCCTTCAGGTTGGGAGGGAAAGAGAAAAGAGGTAAGCAGTGCGTGGCTTCCTGTATTATCTTGAAAAAAGAATGACGCATTTTGACAGTCAATTTTCTCTTCCCTATGCTTTAGAGCTCTCTATCCAAATTATTTCCCTGTTGTCCCAAAGCACTAAATGGCAAAAGCAAAACATAGCCCTGGATTCACAGCTAATATACAAGGCAGAAAGCCAACAGATTGCTATTAAATTAACCCTGGGGCTTGACAGATCTGTTCTTCCTGACCCCAACTGCTTATGGCATTCCTTATTAATGCTGAGCCCAGACAAATTACCTCTGCTAACAAAAGGGGTTAATCTGCCTCTCTGTCGGGACTCTGGAGGCAGCTCTGAGGACAGGAGGGGGCACGGCTAGTTTGGCAGCTGAGCTCCACGCTTGGAAGGCAGAAGGAGGGAAGGTGAGGGCATCACTGTGCCAGGCAGGGCCTAAGGCATCATTTAAAATAATAATTGAAGACACTGGGAGGTCACCCCTTAAGGGATTGGCTTCAAACAAATAAGAAGTCAGAGTCATAAATTACATCACCAGTGGGGTGAGGGAATGGAGAGGGTAATGGCAGGACACTAAGGGGTAGCACGGGGGCCATTCAAAAGTCATTTCCTTCATCACCAATTTGGAAAAAGCTTCATACCAAAGAAAAAAAAAAGTCTACTGCAACATGATAAAAGAAAGAGACTGACAATAAACTGTATATACAGAAATAGGGAAACAATTTAGAAAATTTTGATCTACCTCACTAAATTGTTTTTACAATGTAATTCCAAGTCTGTTAAAAGCCATGAAACATTGTATCTATAGCATGATCATAGTCATTTAAAACTTACAATCTGAAAATGATGGGCTAAAAGGCAATATACTAAATGTGAGTAATAGTTCTATCTGGGTGGGTCTATGAATTTTCAATTATCAGTTATCATTTCCACATTTTCTTTTAATCAAGTAGTATTTCAGGACAGAAAAAGACAAGGTATTTTATATTTATATAAAATATATATTATATATAATATATATATGTATAAAATTAGGTGAGAGAAATTATATATACATATATATACACACACAGTCTGACCAGGGTCATGTAAAAAAATTAGAGAGAGACAGAGAGAGAGAATACAGAATGGAAGGAAATGTGGTTAGTATCTTACAGGGATTAGATGGAAGGTTAGCATGTAAGTTACCCTTTAGTAACTCTAGTTTACAAAGGGTAACTTACCTTTACCATTCGCTCATTCATTCATTCCTTCATGAAAATCTACAGATGTTTACAAAGAACCTGCTAGTACTTTTCTGGGTATAGGGGATACAGCCATGACCAAAATAGACCAAAAATCCGCCTGATCTGTGCAGCCTATATCCTAGCAGGGCACATGGTCACAAAGCAAGGCAGATAAATATAATATAAATTATACTAGACTGTAATAACTGCTAAGCAGAAAAAGCAGGGAAAAGAGAGAGAAATGGTACGTGTGTGAGTGGACAGGTGTGTGTATGTCCTAGACTGA